ATTTTATTAAAAAAAAAGTTAATAAAGTGACACCTGTCCCCACTCTACTCCCACCCCAAACTCCAGAATGCACATTCTATTAGTCTCTTGGCAATAACAGTAGCCCCATAGGAGTTACCATACACAAAAAGGTGATCTCACTACCCCCATGCAGAGTAATAAATAAGCACTTGTGTAATGCCCTTCATTTGTAGACCTCAGCATATTTTATTAAGGTGGGCAAGCATTATTAAACCCACATCAGCTAAGTAACTAAGGCACAGAGCGATTACGTGACTTGTCCCAGGTTATACAGCGTGAGTCAGTGAAAGAGCAGGGAACAAAACCGGACCCAATTCTGACTCCCATTTGGGTGTCCTATCCATAGATTATGCTGCCCCTAGTAGATGTCATTAGTTCATTGGGGCCTCCCAAAGCACAGGTGGTATCCTGAAACACCAGCCTCCTAAAAACACTTGCACAAAATATTTAAACAGAATGCGGAGGCTAAGGCCTTGTCTACACTAGACCAGTTTAACTAAAATCCATTTAAAAGTTAATCTAGCTAAATTGGTTGAACGTTAAGTGTGTCTACCTTAGGGGCTTGCACCATTTTAAGAAGTTTTACATTAGGGGCTTACACCAATTTAACTAAGTCAATTTTAAAAATCAATTGAATGAAACCAGTGTACTTTTCTAGTAGAGAAAGGTCTGAAAGTCATTCACAGGCAAGGCCCACATCACAAAAGAATGCCACCTCTCTTTTGTTGTAGAGAACTAATGTTTACTAGACCTTACGGGCAATACAAGACCTGCCAACAATGCAATACTAAGCAAGGAAAAACCCGAAGATAAAAGTGAACAGGAGCTAGGGCTTAATGTCAGATTTCAAGATATCACAGCTCACTGGCACTAAATGGCTCTGTGCTGCCAATTTAGTTTGAAAACCATGTTTTTAACAACATGTTCATGCTTCAGTTGCTACTAAAGTTGAGATTTAAAGTCAACAACTGGGCCCAGAGATTTTTTTTTTTAAATTAGCACGTCATTGTTTTTAAAACAAGTTCCCTGAATGTAATAAATGTCTCTGGATGACAGTACACCTATAAGGAGATTATTCAACACGTGAATATTTAATACAATCTAAAGACATCTCCCATTACAGGAGATGCCTTTTACTGTAGTTAGTGATGTACCAAAACAAATACCCACCTATCTACTCATTAGAGGAAAGTCTCTTCTTGCAGGCAGTTTTCTTGAGGATCGTTCTGCTCTCCCACCCCACCCGTTTTTCTTTTTAATTTTACTACTACTAATGGGACTGGACAAAGTCCTAGCCCACTACCAAAACCAGCCATACACTACAGAAGAAAAGAGGTTAGTGTTTATCTTTTCATTTTACTAAGAGCTCTAGAAGTCCTGTATGTGAAATGGCCCAGATTTCCTGCCTGTCATTTCCACAGACCTCCAGGATCATCTAGATTCACTTATTCTGCAAAACAAATCTTTAATCTCAATCCAACTCTGTATTTTCAGAGTAAAATGATCATAAGAACAAACAACAAAGTCCCTGCATCTGCCCCAATCTATACAGACAGAGAACGTCCTGGTATTCACAACTCCTCCCCAGATCAGCTGTGCATTCTTATAAGTGACCTATCTGCAAAAGTCTTTAGTGTTGAGAGGGTTACATATTGCTGTCAAAACTGTGCACAAGTGAGCAGATACTCTTAACCTCCTATAGGAAAGGGTCTTTCAAATCAAGGTTTTACATTTAAAAAGTGAAGTAACTCCTAAAGCAAGAGATGAGTAAAAAGGTCTGTACCCTCCACATCATTCGTAGATCATCCTGAGCTTAGAGAATCAATGACATTTATGCTCTTTCTTCCTTATCGCCTGCCTCTTCCCCCTGCCCCCCCAAGAAACCTAAACATTTTTCCCTTCTGGATGACTATATGAAGGGAACCAACTATACACACTTCCCCAAACTGCCTTCCCTTAATCTGGAAGTAGACGTACTTGGGGGTGGGGTGCACTGTTCTTCCCCCCCCCCCCCATCTCCTCCTTCTGAAATTTCTCAGGTGAAGTTATTTGATAAACACCAATTGGCTCACCACCGTATAAGACAATAATGAGATTGAAAGCACTTAGTTTAGTCCCATCTAAGAAACAAAACAGGATACACTGCGAGGAGGTTATAACATAGTTTTGGGGTATTATTATTAAATTTACTTCTTGTGGGCAACAGAGAAGACACGTGGAAACTTGTTCCACAATGCCAGGCAACAGGTTTTTCACAACGTGAAGAGGGATTGTGTGCGTTTATGTCTGATAACCCTTGGCGCATAGAACTTTTTATAGAGACCATTTGCACTGTCTAAAAGTCACTTTCATTCCCAAAACACCAAACATACACTCACTAATAATTTGAGTTGATGGGACTAGAAGGCTCACACATATTAAACTGAATGCCTGGAGTATAAATTATAACCAGACCAGACTTTCACTCTCCAGGATACACAGGGGCTGGGTTGTTTTTTTAAGCTACACAATTTTTGAAAGTTTCTATCACAGAATCACAACCATGCTATTCATAATCCAAACAGATCTAGGAGACGGATTTTTACTCCAGTGCAAACAGAGTTTAATCTTGGGCTGTGGTTTAGTGCCCATCATATCCAGGTTGATTTTTTCTTTTTTTTAAACACAAGATATAAAATTCTTCAGCAGGGCACCAGTTTACATGACACACTTATGCAACTTTCTTGCAAATACATAGGGTTGTATTGCCCAGGAACTCAAATGTTTACCCAGAATAGTTACTACAAGTTGCATGTGGACAATGTGGTGACCACAGCAGTGATAAGAGCCACTCTCCTAGAAAACACGCTATTTCAATCTAACAGAGAACACACAGTTAAGATGAAGCAGACATCACTATCAGTTATCAAGGAACAAAACTTACACTAAGTTTTCAGAGCCACAGAAGAGAAGGATTGAGCAAGAAGGGAAAACTCTGGAGCTGCATGTCACACTCCAGAGTATCAAATGTCTCTGATCCAGTGCTTGCAATGAGAACAGGCAGGGTATGGGCAGAGAGAAGTCTGTCAGTCCTGCACAAGGCCATTACACATTCAGATCTAAGACATGTAAACACAACGTAAGAGATTATCTGCAAACTCTGATTAAGAACAGATATGAACAGAATGTTAGCATCACTGTCCCAATATCCAAAATGTCTGACTTCCATGTAGCTGAAAGTGCTATAGCACATTTGTATTGCTGGCATTAGTTACAATTCCAGCAAATTAACAAAAATATTAATTTATAGACTCTTTTACCCTACTCCCACTTCTCTCCAAAAAGTAGGAATAAACAATATAATCAGACGCAATAGTTCCAGACATTTGATGTTTAATGTCACTATAACAAGCAATTGTTCCTTCCGAATGTAAGTAAAATTAATATAGTGATTTTTTAAAAAATGGTCTTGAAACATAGGTAAGGAGTTAGGCCAGGCCTGTACTTTAAGAGAAAACTCAATATGAAAAAGTGTTAATTGGTAATTCACCATTTCTAGTGCTGCAGCTACAAATGCTTTTTAAAAGGTTTCTAACATACCCCATAAAAGCCCCACATTCACTATCTGATGATGAACCCAGCCGAGCAATTTCAATTATGAAATGGATCAAAATTAGTCAGGAATAAATGCATCCTTAGATTCCATCAAAGAAATCCTTTATGCCAATGGGAAAGTCACATAACCAAAACAAACAGCACGCCCATTGTACAGAGAACCCCTGCTACTGTTCCGACAACACAGAATCTATTCCAGGCTGTAAAAAACATAACAAGCAAAATAAATCCAAGGTACAAACAAAATGCCATTGCCTCCTCTTTTGTTTCAGGCACAATGCAACAAGGGCAGCCTGTCTGGAACTCTGCTCCTGCTGATACAGTATTGCTACTGAACTTCCTCAAGGTCACAGCCAATTTCAGCTGTGGAATAAAGAGGCAGATAGTGGCAGTGATGGTTTGGGTTATGGCTGGCAGAAAAGCAGAGTGTAAAAGTTTATGAGCTCATCAGGATTGTTGTACCATTACATCAGAGGCAATTATAAATGGCCAAGAGCAGGAGATGGGGAACCAATCAGATCACAGATAGGATGTCAACCTAAGACCAACTGTCTCCTGGCTTTGACAGAAGGATTTTACCTCCATAATTCAAATCCCAAACCAAAGCAATCTGCACTTACTACTCCAATCACTGAACTGTTTACCAGCACTTCCAGGGAGAGGCCCAGGCCACTGGGCTAACCAAGAGACTGCTCAGGAAAATGGCTACAGCTACCTGGGCAAGCTGCAGCTGCCCAAAACAGGTCACTTCCCACCTTCCTACCCCCAGGAAGTGCAAAGGCCCCTCACTTGGAGCAAGAAGAGGGAGGAAGAGTGCAATGGGGGCAAATGTGTAAGTGCTGCTCTGCAGAGCTCCCACTGCCTCTACTGATCACACCCCTTCCCTAGCCCAACAACGAGGAGCTCAGCTACCCACCTCCACCCCATGCACACACGCACCATAGTGCCAGGCCCTTCCTCCACCCAGGGGCTCCCTCCATCTCCCCCCTTGAGCCCCCAAGGCAGGCAGGGGAAGTGGGAAGGAGAAGGCACCTCTCTGGAAGCCTCGCACAAAGGCTAGAAGGGGAGGAAGAGAAGGCAGAGAGGCAGCCATTTTAGAGAGAGAAAGACACAGACAATGGCAGCTCCCCAGCAGTGTGGGTCCAAGTGGGGGAGGGAACCCGTAGGAAATTGGCCCACCTCATCACCCCCCTCCATCGCCCCACGTGCCCTCATCCCTGCCCCTTATCTGTGCCCCTCTTCTGCCCTTGCCCCCATTGTCCCCGGCCCCCTCAGTCACCCCACGTGCGCCCAGCCCCTGCCCCCTAACCCCAGCCCAGGTCCCCCAGCCCCCCATATGGGCCCGCCCCTGCCCCCACACACATCCCCCCATGCCAAGCTCTCACCTGCTGGGTCCTAGCGAGCGGCTGTCCCCCTCCAGCGCTGCTGCTCCCGGGGCTCATGGGCGCATGGTGGCTCCTTTGTTGGCCCCCTCCTGTGGCCGTGGCCCAGGCCTGGCTATTGCCCCCACCGTACTGGGAGGCCATGTCCGCGGCCGGGCCCTTGGCGGCGGCTCCCCCGTCCTGGGGCCCGCTGCTGTAGTCGCCCCCGGGGTAGCCCTGGTAGCCACGGGCTGAGCTGGGGGAGGTAAGCAGCTGGTTGAGGGTGGGGGTAGCTGTGGGCTGCGGGGTGGCGCCCCCTCCTCCTGCTGCCCCGCCGGCGGCCGAGGGCCCCATGGCCCCGAAGCGCTGCTGCTGGAAGGCGGCGGCGGCGGCGGGGGATTTGGCCCCGGCGGCCGCTTGCGCGGGGCTCTGCGTGCTGCCCCGGGGGGAGCTCAGGGCGTAGGCCTGGGGGGGAGGCGGGTAGGCGCCGGCGCTGCGCCCGGCTGCCGCCGGGTAGTAAGAGTTGTACTGGTGGTTGGGGAAGCCGTGCTCGGCGCCGCCGTGCGAGTTCTGGGGGAGGGGGCGGCCCCGGGGGGGGCCCCCGTCGGTCCCGGGTAGGGCTGCTCCAGGCCCCCGCTCTGCAGCGCTGCCATGCCAGTGCTTTGTTGTCCGCCATGTTGGTGGAAGGCAGCCGCGGCGGCGGCAGCGACGGCAGCAGCCTGGGCTCCCCGGCCGTAGGGCTGCCCGAAGCCGTAGGCTGGCGGGGGCAAGGCGGCCGGGTGGGAAGGGGGAGGCTGCTGCGGCGGCGGCGGCTGCTGCTGCTGCGGCGCCCCCACCCCGTCGCTGCTGCCGCCGCCGCCACCGGGCGGCTCCGGGAGGTTATTGTTCAGGGTGGCGGCGGCAGCGGCGGGCCTGGGGCCCGCGTTCCCGTTCGAGCTCTTCAGGTCGGGCTCGGCCCCGGCGTCCCCTCCGTTGCTCTCGGCCCCGTCCTGCAGCTCCTTCCCCGGGGGGCCCTCGCTCTCCGCCTGCTTCTCGCCGCCGCGCTCCGCCACCGCCTCGCCCCCCGCCTCCTCCGGGGGACAATCCCGCTGCTGCGCCTCCGCTTTCTTCAGCTCGGCTGGAGCCGGGGCGCCCAGGCTGCTGGCGGCGGCGGGGGCGACCTGAGCAGCCATGATCCCCCCTCCCCACCTAGCCACCCCCCCGGACCCCTGCCCCCGAGCTGCTCCCCTGCCTGGCCGGCCGGCGGGAGGCCTCGCTGCTCTGCTGCTCCCCGCTCAGGCGGCGGCGGGCTCTTCAGGGCAGCAGGGGCTCATTCCCCCCCGGCCTGGCTGGCGAGGCGGGGAGGGCTCCGCTGGGCTGGGCTCCCCGGGGCCTGGCCCCGCTGTGCCTCCTCGGTTGCAGCCGGCGGAGAAAGGGGAGGAGGGATCGGGGGGGAGGAGGGGGGAACCCGGGACGGGGCTCCCGGCGTGGGAGAGGCAGGAGGGAGGGGGATACGGCGGGCGAGCGGACCCCGTCCCTGGAGCCGGGCGGTGCGGCGGTGGCGGGGCCGGACTAGGCGAGCCGAGCAGCAGCTCCCGACTCTCGTCCGCCGAGTCCTGCTCACTCCGACACGAGGCTCAGCACTGCCATTTTACCCAGCGCCGCGGCGGCCTGCCAAACCCGGAGCGGAGCCCGGCCCGGACTGGAGCCTCCCCCCTTCACAAAGGAGGAGCAGGCAGGCCCCGGACGCTTGCAACTCAGCAAGGCTGAGGCCGCTGCCGCACGCAAAACCCGCAGCGGATCCCGCGGAGCCGAGCCGAACCTTCCGCCACAAAAGGAAGCTCCCCTGCTGCGAAACACGGAGCGGATTTCAGCCTGGGCGAAGCGGACTGCTACAGGCTCGCTCTTCAGAAGACCCGCACCAGAGTGCTCATCTCCCCCTCTGCACTACTGCCCGGTGCATAAAAAGATACCTGCAACCACCAGAAGTTGGTATCCCTCCCTGCTATAGGAGAACAAGTAGAAGTTTACTAAGCACAGGTCTGGGAGCCAGGACTCCTGGGGTCTATTCTAACTGTGGAAGACAGGAGTGCTGGGTTTGATCCCAGAACTGGGATATTATGCTGGCCACAGGACCAGACATGGATCTAAGAGCCTGGAGTGCAGGAACATGCAGGCTGGTTCCATCCAGTGGCCCACTCCATCCAACATCCTGTCTGCAACACTGGCTAGTTCCAGATGCTTTAGTGGAAGGTACAAGAACTCTAAATTGGATAATTATGGAATAAGTTGCCCTGAGGGAAGTGTCTTCCTTACCCTCTGGGAGTGCGGACTAAAGAAAGGTTTGGAAAATGACTCTAGCTACCAAACAGTATAATGCACTGCAATTTTTATAGGGGGACATGGAAGAGACCCTTATTATTTAGGATCCCTAATGCTATCCATTTTAAGTGTCTTTCAACTTTTGGGGGAAATTTTTACACTGCATTGTTTGCAGCAGGCCTGCAAAATTCAGCTAGGCGAAAGGCCCTTGGGCTATATAAGTACCTTTTCTTAGTCCCAGGATTTTCCATTCAGATTTACCTGTTGTAAACTGTTAAAAATTGCCATTTTCTGTCTGTTGCTTGTGTTCCTCTGGAAAATGTTGGCTGTATGCCAAAATAATAACTGAACATAAACATGCTAAAGTCAGGAGCTCACACTATTGCCAAAGCAGCAGGCAGTGCACTGGGAGCTGCTAGGGGATGGGGTGGGGAGAGAGAGAGAGCCAAGTCAAGCTCCCCACCTGACTACATACCCTTCAGTCCAAGCACATGGTTCTAGTGTCCTACCTCCTTCCTATCACCTCTGGGGGCATCACCCAGAGCAGGACTCCCCCAACTCCCAAGAGATGGGTTGAAAACCAGGTCAGGATCCCCTCCTAACTACACTAGACCCAGTACGGGGCTGAGCAGCATCTGTCCCCTGCTCCAGAGGACCACAGGGGGCAAGGGTCCTTCTCCTGCTGATGAGGGGGGCAGAGAGAGAGCTGAGTCAGGCCAGCCTCCCTGTAGATGCAGCATATCATGCTAGCAGGCCATCAGCATCACTCAAGTGATATAAATCTGTACTAAGATGCAAAAGTTCTCTCCTCCTCCCTTAAGAAACCCTTAGGAGTCATGCAAAAATATATTACAAGAAAGTTATTTACATTGCAAAGTCAAGCAGTTGGAAGTTAGGAGATGTCAGATTTGGAATTGCTCATTTATGGAGTTGCTGTTCTGCCCCCTGGTATGTATGCATTGATACACTCCAATTATATGATCACAATATTTTTTCCACAGGACCCCTACCTCATTCAGACAACAGGCTGAATGGACAAGGAGTTGAATTAAGATTGCATGGATTACTGTAAATCTGACACTTCCTATCTTTCAAGTACTTGACTTTGCAACCTAAATAACTTTATTTTAATATAGGTTTTGTGTGTGTGTAATACATATACAATTATGCATGTTTCTTCTTGGCTTTAAGATTTTTAAGTAGTGCAAGTTACACTATTTTGTATCACAATCCTTCCCATCAGCACCCTTTGTCTTTATGTGATCTACTTTATAACCTGCTCCCACTGATGATTAACTGGAGTAAAACAGGCCCTTGTACTGGAAACCCTTTAGGACAGGGCCCATCTCTTTGAAGCACCATGTACACCTACAACAAATGCAGAAATAGGTAACAGACCATCACATGACACTGGGCAAATCATAACCTGTTTCCCCCATCTGTGAAATGGGAATACTACTACATCTGCCCCACATCTGTGAGAGAAAAATAATGTTTGCAAAGCATTTTGAAGCCTCTTTAATGTGAGGATCTCAACAGTGCAAAGTATTATTGCTAACTAATTAGTCTCACATTATATTTGTGCTTGCTACACTATTTTTCAGTTCAGATCTTGATTCTACACTTTGTTCCTGGAGAGGGCAAGAAGTATAGAGGGCTACCCATGGTCCTAATAGTGTAGTTAGCTAAGAAGCCCAGAGGCAGAAAAGGCACTGGACTTTTTACCTCTGCTGTAACTTAGCTTTCATTATGTGAATGTTGAATCTACTATTTTCTGATATCAAGTTCTATAACCCAATCATCATCCTGACAGTATATTAGGCAGAAGTTTCCTCCTTCTTCCCCCACTGACTTTTTTTTTTTGGTGAAGGAGAAGTTTTACGAAAGATATAGAACTTTATATATAAACACTACCATAAGAAAACCATGTCTATAGGATGCTTGAAGGAGCAGGGGGAAGGTGATGAGATACAGTCTTTCAATGCTAGAACATCGGTTCAAAACAAGTACAGGGCAGTAATGACCCGTAGAGATTATCAGTTGTTATGCTTTGAGGGTATCTAGGAAATGGATTGGCGGTCTCAACCATTTCTTAAGGGTCCACTTCACAAAAAACGCTATCACAGTTAGCATCCTTGATAGCAGTCAGATAGAGAGGCCAAGTCTAGGATGGTCTAGTCAGGGCAGGACCTGAAAAACTGGTCATTGCTAATACTGTGTAAAGTTTTACAATCAATAGAAAATTTCAGTGTACAATACCATCAATCCAGCAATAAAATTCAATACAAAAATTAGAATCTATATATTTATATTCTAAATAACATAATATAAATATACATGGTACAGCAGGTGCTAAAAAACAGAAGGGACTCCAAAGTAATAAACTGGGGTAGAAGTTAGCACAAGTCAATGTGTAGCTAAATTCAGAATGCATTCCAGAGCAACAAACGGCATTACAGGCTCCCTAACCAAGGCAGTGTTGCCATTTTACAGTAGAATGTATAACACAGAGTAGATTCTACCTCCGCATTGGCACAGAAAAAGAGAGGGTTTCTCTCTCTCTCTCTCTCTCTCTCTCTAGTATTTTACTGAGAGTTGCAATGGGATAATACATAATAATAGCTACATTTAGTATTTGTTTTGTAGTAGCCACCCAAAAACCCCTCTCAGGATTGTGGCCCCAACATGCTAGGTGCTACACAAACATATAGGAAGACACAATCCTTGCTAAAAGCTTATAATCCAGCCTGAAACAAAAATCATCCTATTCTAGAGCCAAAAACTGGATTGGAGTCTCCTTCACAAGATGCACTTTACCAACTGCCACACAATTCTGAAGCAATTTCTGAGGCCTTAATTTGGGCTGGATTCCAAAAATCCCCAATATTTTCCCCCTGCCCACTCATAGGCCTATCACAAAATGTTTCCTCCAGCAGAGAGGGGTTGGGCATGTCATTATATGCTTGCCCTATGAACATTACTTTTAAAGTGTACAAAAAGAGTAAAGGAAACCAACAGAAACTCCTGGGTTGTTGAGTATACTACCATTGTAGTGTACTCAACACAAGAGACCTTTGTAGTGCTCAATAAAAAGCAGTGGGCTTTAAAAATTGTGGAAAATTCTAGATTAGAAAATTGATCTGAGGGCTCTTCACAAAAACAAACAAACAAAAAAAAAACACCCTGTTGTTTGATCAAGCACTGTTGTCCAGAGAGAGATTTGGTTTTGGAGCAGATTCTCCTTCAGCAAACCAAGCTAGATTCTCACACAAAGGTGACCCTGTGGTTTTACCAAGTTCTATCATGGGCTGTAAAATCCAAAAAAGATAAAAGAGCAGCAAAGCAGACAGGATATCTCTTTCAAGGATGCTTCCCCCACTTTAATGAGAATCTAACAAATTCTGAATTGTTTGGGCACCTAGAAAAAATAAAATGGAACAGGCACTACCATTTTATCCAAAACCCTCTTAGGCTACAAAATTCTGAGTGTTATAATCTCCCAGAAACCAGATTAGAGGCTGCCTCATGAAATTAAACCTTGCCCTCTCATTGGACCCCTTTAGAGGCTATCAAATTCAGTCCAGGAGCCTAAATTTCAGTCTTCCCCCATCTAAATTATGAATTTGTATGTGCTGTTCTCCTACAATTTCTCACCCTGTTGCAATCTTCTTCAAAGAAGACTGTGGGACACTGAAGTCTGGAGCTGATTGGAATGTGGAAACTAGAATGGATTCCCTTTACAATAAGGAGATACTAATTTTACCAAGAAGTTTGTGAAACCTGAAGCAATTCCAGAATCTGTCTCACAGAAAGGAGGCCCTGTGGTTTTATTAAATACTGAAGCACTCTATGAAACCCAAAATATTAGATTTGGAAAATAGAGAGCAGCATTCTTCCAACATTTCTACCCAAGACCTAAGAATCCTCTCAACAGCCTTCCTATCAGCCAAAGAGAACTGGACAAGACTTTCTTTGAAACATGTCAACTCTCCTCCTTTATTGACCTGAGGGATCATTGCTATGTTATGTGAGGCACTTTTTTCCCTGCCCCCCTACCGTCCGTGCTGAGCATATTTCCTCCACTGCCATACCAGCTCCTAGCAGCTCAGATAGCGAGATACCACAGGAGGGGAATCCAACTCAGGTCTCCCACATGGTAGTGCAGGCCACCACCACTAGGTTGGCTCTTATTAAGTAAAGTCTCCTTCATGAAGGTGGCCTTGCCATTTAACCTAGTACCAAGGCGGTTTAGGAAACCTGGTCTAGATTAGAGTGCTAGAAACAGGAGTAGTCTCCCTAATAAAAGAGGCTCTGCCAACTGTGTGATGGCAAATATGGACTGAATTGTTGACATGGAAACGGAACTAAAGTCTCCCTCTCTCACACACACACTCACACTTCTTATTATCCCTGGCCCCTTAAACAAGCTATAAACATGGACTGGA